TCTCTCTCTCTCTCTCTCTCTCTCTCTGTATTTTTAATTACAACAAAAGGGAAAGAGGTGAAATGGGAGGGCCCTTTGTTTATTAAAATGATTTTTTTATTTATTTTATATTTTATATTATTTTAACATATAAAATGTCCAATTTGCTCTCATATTTAACAACAAATTAAATGAATGTTGAGATTTAGATAATAAGGGGGAATTGACAATAAAAATTAGTTTGTGTACTTAATTTTTCAACCAAGAAAAAAAAAGGATTGAGAGTATAAATTAAAAGTAACATACAAGTTTATGGGGTAAATTTACAGTTAACCCAAAAAGAAAGTTTAAGAAGTTGACTGAGTTTAGTGCTCAATTCCCACACATCACAGACCTTTAATTACAGAGCCCACCACATAACACTGTAACAGTAGATCCAATTAATGCCCAAAACTAGGAGATTCAGGCAAAATAAACCCAACAAACCTTCCTAATTCCAATCCTATAATCTCTCTGTCATTTCCATCCAATACCTCTCTCTCAGTCAAAGAAACCTGAGAGCCTCAGCCACCTCCCGATGTCGTGGTACCTTAGCAGAACACCTTCTTCAGCTTCAAATGCCAAACCCAATGATCAATATTCCACCATTACTTTACACAATTCCATCTTCCCAGTTTCTGATTCTGGCCTTTTCAATGATATTTGCATTGTTGAAATCCCAAACAAACCCCTCATTGATCACAAAAAAGACAACAACAAAAGCAACAGCAAACAAGTAGAGACCTTTCCATGTTCATCATGGGAATGGTTTGCCTATCAATGCTCTCCAACCCAATTCCATTCTGTTGTTGTCCCTCGGGCTCTGTCGCCGGTGTTCAGAATCCAAGTTATTGGGGTCCTGCCTGAACATTTCTTGTGTGCCAAGCTGGTGCAGAGTCCTCATCAGCCTCATGCCACCCTGTGTACCTATTCATGCAGTGGAAATTCGCTTCATGATGTGCCTAAAATGAATTGTGAGGATCGGAACCCGTTCGGTGCTGCCTGTGCCCTTCGTGATGGCTGGCTTTATGTTGCAGGAGGCTATAAGGGCAAATCTTCCAGTAAGTACTGCTATAATGTTCATCCAGTTTCCTTCTTTTGTGTATGCCTTGGTCTTGGAAAATATATTAAAATTAGGTTCACACTCAAATATAACCAATTACCCAATTAGGTTTGCTGATTGGGTACTCAAGCAAGCAATTTTCAATTTTAATTTTAGCCATGGGTCACACTAAGAATAACTAGGTATATCTGCCACATTGATAATGCTTTTGTAGATGACTGTATACTGAGTTTTTTTACATGGATTCAAAGCCAGGATTCAAGTGCTTTTGTAACAGATATTTGCAGAAACTTCAGACACAATTTCATATAAATTGGTAACAATCTCCTAACATGGATGCTGATCAACTACTTATGTTTGAGCCCCTTTGGACCACATTTGATGTGTAGTAAGGAACCACCAGTGAAAATTAGATGACCAAAGACTTGATTTTGATAAACTAGTCTTTGAGGCTAATAAGAATCATAATCATATTTCTCTGATCATACTTAGATTCTCTCCCAACCACACCACTTACCATGTGGAACTTGATGTGTGATATGCAGATATTGATCCTTCATCTTACTTGAAATCGGTTGAACGATTGAACCT